TATAAAAAATAATGAAATAACATTTCAAATGTTATTGGCACTGTTATGATCACTGGGTCAGGGCGCTGTCAGCTGAACATAAAAAAACAAAATAAATAGTTCATATTTCTTATCACTGAAGACAAATTTACATATTCACTATGAATATTACCACTACAACTACAATTAGAATCTAAGTGTTCGAGAAAAAGAGAAAATGATAGGTAGTTTTTTTTCTTTTTTTCTCTTTCTCTCTCTGTATAGACGTCAGTATCAGCTTTAGGCAGAGAGGCAGTGTTGTTTAACAGGTCTCCCTGCTGACCTTGCAAAGTGAACAGGAAGTGCAGTCATTAGAAAAACCAGGGTGGTAAGCAGCTTGGTGGAAGGGGATAGAGTTGGGAGTAGTACTAGATCTAACCGATTCAAGTACCTGGTTACACAGTAATAAAAAAGTCATCAGATGTTCACGTATTTATTTGCAGGTATGCACACTTGTGTACTAAATACACCAGTTAAGCGGGGGTGGGAGAAAAAAAAAAGCAAAAAAAGCAAAAACAAAAAAAAATATGTAGGTAGCCATGTTTTTAGTGTAGTCTATAAATAGACTTATAGAATTACTGGTTTTCACAAGCAAGTTCAAACCAGAAAAGTTTGGCCTATGCTTTTACCAGGAACTCTTAAACAAAAAGCCAATTTAGTAAAATTATTACAGCCAAAAAACTAAGTCTGATATGATAATTGCTTGTGAGTAATAGATTAATTCTTTGAATGGCATGTTGACCAACATCACTTAAAAAAAAGTTCCAAAACAGCTGTTCTTCAAATGATGCCAGGTGAACAGATGATGCCTTGAATACTATTTTATTTTAGACTGGTTGGCTGTTTAGTGGCATATCAACCTCAGAGTCATTTAATGCTGAAATGTAAATAATTTGTATGCAATTTTTTTTTTTTTTAAGATAATCATTGTTTTTAGTGTTAGAAGATTTACTAATTAGCCAATAGCTCCAAGGGGAGAAGAAGTGGATTACTAACTTTCCCAAGGGTATCTGAGCTCAAGTGAATATAATGAAACCAAATTGAAATTGCTCTATGATTAACAATTCCAAACAATTATCCATTACATTATATACATTATTCCGACTATTGTCCTCATCTTTGTTGCCATATTTATTATGTTTCAGCTGTTGTACGCTCCAGCCTTCTTCAGGTGGTTGGAATGTCGAACTGAACCCTTTATTTTGCTCACTAGGGTAGACTGTTCTAACAACGACACTGGTTACATGGCAGCAGCCGCAAATAACTGGGATAGGCGGGTACAAGAGAAGGACAACAATACTCAGGAAATAGTTTGCCTGTCTTATGTGAAGGGGTTATCAGAGAAAATACAAAGGATCTGTGGTCCATATAACATCAGGACAACCTTCAAAAGCTTGACGACACTTCGCAGATATCTCTCCTGAGTATTATACCCAGAAATTCATACACAGATGTCCTCAAGGACACATGGCACAGTGGATAAAGGCGTTAGTTAGATCCAGTGACAGGACTCAAAGAGTGTGAGTTCAATACCCGGTTAAAGCAGTGGAGAACTTTCAAAGGGAAATTAACAAGAGATAACCATTAAACAGTCCTAAATAAAGGGTTCAGTTCAACATTCCAACCACCTGAAGACGGCGACAAAGATGAGGACAATAATGTACATAATACCTCATCTCAGAAATATAGACAGATACATTATCCATTACATCACCCACATCCAAACTTACAGCACCTGGTATTCCCAAGCAGTCACCCATCTAGGTACTAACCAGGCTTAACTTTGGTGATCATGATGTGACCATAATG